TTTAATAACTCGTGTTGTGCCATATTTAAGAGAATTCGCTATCAATGGGATATCACCTAATTTTAGGGCCATAGTTCTTTAAACAGTAAAATAGGACAATATGAATATGAAATAGGGTATGTATGAATGAGAATTAAACAGTATAAACACAGCTTAAAATCGTAATACTAATAAATTATGAACGAATCAGGGAAAAATGGGCCTACCTAATGTCGGGGCAGTCCTTATAATCCAATATATATCTTGGCCAATCCAATGTAATCCAAAATCGAATTTCGATTTAACGTCCAAAATCAGAAGAATGGACAAGTAGCATGTAACATCATTCACATATGTCGTCCAGCTTGAAGAATATTAAATCGTCATAAAGGCACGTCTTCATTCACATACGTCGTCTGGCTTGAAGAAGAATATTAAATCGTCATAAAGGCACGTCTTGCCTTTGTTAGCTTTCTGAACGTCTTTAGTGATTGCTGGTGTCTAGGGTTCGATTATAACGCATGCACAAAAGGCACGGTCGAGCCCCCAAAATGTGGGGAAAGGCAACGACCATAGTAGATAACACACATTTATTACTATTTACAAATATAGATTACATTAGGATTACAATTAATGAAAATGGTATACGAGCGATCGAGCGACGTCTGCTCCGCTCGCCAGCTAATCCTCGTCTTCTCTCGAAGGCGGGAAACACATGCTGACGCAATGTGTACGTCACACAGTAGGGGATTAGGGAATATCATGACATAACATTTCCCACAATATGTATGTAATTTTTAATAGTTTTAAATTCTACTTCCATAGCTTTAAATATTTCTGTTAAAAATCTTTTCGTAACAAAGCCCCAAATATGTCAGCTGTAAGTATTATTGCTTTCTTACCAAGAATATAATTATCCTTTTCTACAATATCTTGTGTAATTTTTAATAGTTTTAAATTCTACGTCCATAGCTTTAAATATTTCTGTTAAAAATCTTATAGTAACGAAGCCCCAAATATGTCAGCTATAAGTATTATTGCTTTTTTACCAAGAATATAATTATCGTTTTCTACAATATCTTCATCAACATTCATTATCTGGAAAACAATTTCCAAAATACTTTCATCAAAACTGCATAACGGACATTGTGAAATTTCATTATCTTTATTATTTAATTCATTCAGAAGCCTTGCTTTGCAAATGTTAAGTTGGTGTTGAACCATCAATAAACTCGCAGAAAAAGCCTATAAGTAGCCAGGTGAATAAGATGAATGTTGAAAATTAGTCGTTTAACCCAAATTCATATCCTAGTGAACAGACTAATTGCATAATTATTTCAAAAATTGTTTCCACTTATAATATGAAAATGAGCTATTTTCCCTTAGAAAGTCTTCCACAAAGGCATTTTTAGGTCAATAGCCCTTGTATACTTTGCCAATAAAAAGGATAAATATCATCATCTTTCTCTTTCTATAAAAAGTTGATATCTGTCACAGTAACAAAGTCAGTAGGTCTAAAAAATTTTAAATCCAGCACATAGATAAAAATATAGGTATGATTAGGCTTAATTAGATATCAAATTTCAGCTTTTATTATTTATTGAATTTAAAACATTAATATAACATTTTGTTTTATTAGTAGTAGCTGCAAGTAAATCTTTAAGAATTAACTTTTGATAGATGACTTTTACATTTTGAATTACATCATGATCCATAGTTTGTATAAGACTCTTAATATTCGACAGTAAGAAAATAAATTGGGTACTGTTCTATTATCGGGACCAGATTCAGAAATGTATGAATGTGTGCATGTGTGTATGTATGTGCATACTATATGTGTATATGTATACACACACATACATTTATACTTACATATATACTACATGCAAACACTAATACATACATTCATACATGCATACATACATGTATGCGTACATTTCTGAATCCGGTCCTGATAACACAACAGTATCATAAATTGAGTTAAATTACTACTTATGTGTTATTGCAAACATTTTGGTAGAAGTTGTCAAATTTTCAGTGCTCGTAACAGCTCTTCAGTTAAACAGTGTCACATGTATGCATTTGTTTTGTTGTATTCCATGTTTCGTTTCAATGGTTTTTATAAACAAATTTTGATAATTTTGGATTTAAACTTTATTTTAAAATATGTGCTTGTAGGATTTGCTGGCAGTGGAAAAAACTGCGGTCAAAATTCTGCAGGAATACGAAGTTTTGCTGTAAAATCTCTAAAGGAAACACTGAGAAAATACATTTAGTAGATAGCCGGTATAGCCAAAGTTTGTGCGATGCTGAGTCTTTGCAGTTCTCTATCATTGTTTTATATGAAAACAGATTGTACTTGGGGAGAAAAATAATGCCCCCCCAAAAAAATTACAGAAAGATTTGGAGAAGAATGTATTGAGTCAGTCCATAAGTTTGTGAGTATTAAGAGTATGCGTGGAATTCACTATGATGCATTTACTGAAACAGTATAATTTTGAACCTGTTGAAACATGTCATTGTTTGACTAACATATTATTCAGTTCATCACAAACTTTCATAAATATCAAACACATTTTAATACCCATAGAAGATGAATATAGATAATCCATACAAACGTGCTTTGCTACATTTTTTTTATTTTCGTGTGGTGAATCTGTCAGGTCTGCAGTAATAAAAATTAATAGTGTGCATGGTGAACACTCTATTAGTATAAGGACTGGCCAGAAATGGTGTAAAAAATTTAAAGTTGGAAAAATGAGCGTTGATGATGAACAATGTTCAGGAGGTCCTGTTAATTTTGATGATGCCATTCTTCGAAATCTTGTGGAGTCAGAGCCACAATTAACAGTGAATCAGATCGCAGAAAGGATGAATTCATCTCATGGAATAGTCTTTCGTCATTGAAAGAAGATTGGGAAAGTATCCAAGCTTGGAAAGTAGGTACCACATGAGCTATCCGAAGCCTAAATGCCAACAGCGAATAAACATCTGCACTTCTCTTTTATCGCGTATCAAAAGAAAGCCATTTTTAGATCGTTTGGTAACAGGTGACGAAAAATGGATTATTTATCATAACGTCACAAGAAAAAGAACGTGGACAGATAGGGATAAATAGCCGATTCCAACAAGCAAAGTGTCTTTACATCCCAAAAACATTCTTTTGAGTGTTTGGTGGAATATGTATGGTAATTTATTTTGAACTGTTAGAAACAAATCAAACAATTAATTCAGAAGTTTATAGTGAACAACTTTGCTGTCTAAACTCAGAAGTGATCAAAAAACGCCCATGATTGGTGAATATCAAGAAAGTTTTGTTTCATAATGATAACGCTAGACCGCATGCGGTTTGAACAACGCTGCAAAAAATTAGTGAATTGGAAGCTTTTGCCACATCCTGCTTACTCCCCAGATATTGCCCAAGTGATTTTCACTTATTTCTTGCCTTACAAAATTTTTTACCGGGAAACAAATTAAATTCTGAACATGATGTACACAATGAACTTTCAAGTTTTTTTGCATCAAAACCAGAGTCTTCCTACAGCAATGGCATAACAAAGTTGCCGGTAAGATGGCAAGACATTGTAGATAATGGAGGAAAATATATAATTGATTAAAATGTTAAATTGTGTTTTTTTATATTTAAAAATGTGCACAAATTTATGGACTGACCTGATGAGTGTTATTTTTTAATGTATCAGGTAATCCTTAATTAATAATTAAGCTTTGTATTTTAAATTGCTTAAATGTGTTTTCTTTTCATATGTGCTGACTTATTATAAATATCAATAGTTTAAGAATCATTTTCAAAAAAGTCATAAGACCTACCAATTTGAACCCAATAAGTAACCTTTAACTGTTGCGTATTATCCCTTCGACCAGCCAGTTAGCATGATTTTGGTGCCAATTATAGATGACAATGTCATTTAGAATTATGTGATTGATGAAATTTCCAGTTGACAAAATAATGCATGAATACTCTTTTCCTTTTCATCTCTAAAAAATTGTCACATTACATCAAGGTTGTTGCATTAATATATAAGTGCCAATTTTGGTACATCACAATAGGCTGTTTAGTTATCCTTCTACCTAATACTACTTCACATAGAAGAATTTCTTTGCTGTCTGAGCATTATGCTCTTAAATTGTGTGTAAAGACTATTTAAGATTCAATAAAATTTTATTTGTCCACTTAATGGTGGATTGTAACTAAGTTATAGAATGTATTACTGGAAGGAATGATTAACTCCCTTTCGTTAACATTAACAAATTAGGTGACTTACATTTTAGTATTACAGTTACTGTGAACACATATGTTTACTTCACTATGAATGAGTTGTAATTAACCTATTTATCTTTTAAACTCTACTTTGCATGATCTTAATGTACATAACTGCCTTCTCTGAGCAAATATGTATAATCTGAATCAAAGAATATAGTGTTTAAATTAAACTTGACAATTAGTAAAACTGAAAAGTAATTGTCATATGTTTACTGTTAGTGTTAGCAGGTGAAAATGAATTTTTGTTTGCTGTAAAGAAATGCTCTGAAGATTTGCATAAGTGATGTACCAAGCATACTTCCTATAACTGTTATCACATGGTGAATTTCAAATATGATTAAGAATTTAGTAATTAAATTAAATATGATTGTTATATGCAGTTTCAAAGAAGGATTATTTATCATTTAACAATTAATCAGCAAATATATGCCATATAAAGGCATTTGATAAATGTTAAAAGGAAAAATAAAAATATGCATAGTATAAGAGACAAGCTGCTTACTGCATATGGTTTTTTTAGTTTGTCTTTGAGTTTATTATCTCTGTATTCATAATAGCATTATATTTGATCCAAATTCTATCTTTTTTATTTTGAAATTTTTAAATATTTAATATTAAGATCTTATTCTGCCATTAGTATTAAAGATTAGCCAAATATTGATGTAAGTAAAAACTTCATGAACTTTTGTGTACTCTTATGTAATATACTTATCTATCATACTATACGTTTTTGTTTTAGGAGATCATGGCCATAACCACAGTCATGGTTCAGCACATAACCATGATCATGATCATGGACATGGGCATTCTCATGGTTACAGTGAGCATTTTTGCATATTTGTTTTACATATTTAATTCAGAGAAATTTATGTCATAAAATCACTGTTTAATTGTTCATAAGATGTTTTTATTTGATTGGTCATTAGCTATGTGCTTTTATGATCACATATATTTTCATATTTTCTCGTATAAAAAGTAAGAGTTTTGAATGCTGCATAATTAATTGTTCTCACAGAATAAATTATAATTAGTTTTGTAGACCTTATTTTTTAGGCATTTTTATATAGAAAAACAGCTAAATGCTACATTTTTCTCCATTTTATAATAACAAAAATGTGCATTTTCCATTCTCTCACCTAAAAAATCTATTGAAATTCAATTATTAGTAATTTAGCCTATGTTTTTCTTTTCACATACCTTTCTATGTTTGTGATTCCTATTTCAACTTCCAAAACTTTCCACCACCCACTGTTCATATCCCAAAGTTGAATTTAACCCTTTGTAATATTATTAAGTTTATACATAGGTATCATGCTGGTTGGAATTAGTTTTCGCTGAATGAACACCAATACATAATGGGCAAGTTTATGAGGCTTGTCGACTTGATGCAAGTTCAGTATAGCTCTTTGCTGTGGTGGCTGAGAGCAGACATATGTATAAATGACAAACTGCTTACTGAAATGGTTTAAAAAAAAAAAAAAAAAAAAAAAGTCTGAAATGGTAGGAAAAAAAAGACTTTGTTGGTTGAGAGTAGACATACAATAGCAAAGGGTTAAATTGTTAGCAAAGGGATAAAATGCTTAACTTAAAGCAGTTCTTTACGGAACTTGCAGAAGAATGCTGATGTTAATTTAGAGCAGGTTTTCTTAAACTGTGGGTGACCTGCAGCAGGAAGTTGCCAAAAATTTTAGCAGTTTTGATATTTCTTTAACTTATTATAATAATTTTACAATTACCAATTATTTTGACACAATGTGTCTAAAAATAGATAAAGATAAGACGATACAGACAAAGGAAAAAATGAAAACATCTTTTTATAATATAAACATTCATCTGTTAAAATTTTCATATTGTTCTATGTCTTAAAATTAAAGTTAATGAGCTAAAACTGCAATAGTATATTACAGCACAAGTGAAAAAATTGACACTTTCACTTACACGTGTGTCGGATTTACGCATCTCAGTGATAAAAAGGGGTCCCGACTGAAAAACGTTTTAAGAAATCCTGATTTAGAGAGGAACTTCATGTTGTCAGGCTTGAGCCATGTAAACTGTTCATTTTGTTCAACATTTTTTTATTTTATATCCATGATAATGGAAACCTACTTTAATGAAAATGGGGGAAGGGGGATGATTTTAAAATATTGCACTTATTTTATCACTGCAGTTAACCCAGTTTCATAAATTTGAATTATTTTTTCTAGTTTACCATTGAATTTGCCCTCCAACTTTCTTGTTATTTTTAATTTTTGACTAATGACTATAAATTGAAAGTCTACACCTCACATGGGACATGCCAACCAATGGCCATGTGATAAATTCCCTGAACACTGGTAGTTTGACCTTGTTTCAGTTCCAGGCGAACAGGCTTGCTGCATAGGCATTTTCTTTATTTCCCTTATGTGAGCAAGTTTCCCTTAGAATGTCCTTCACAAAGGCATCCCTTCTCTTAGGCATATAGACGTTGAGTGCTTTGCCATAATCAAACAAACCAACCATTTGTATGGTGCAGTTGCACAGAGCAAAACTAATCCTCCTTAAAAAAAAAAAAAAAAATTAATCTAAGATGTTCCAAATATTGCTTATTTGTATATTTCTTTTCAATCTCAATGAACCTTTTCATCGCACTATCAAAAGAATTACTGGTACCATTGACTTCAACCTATTTACAGGCTGTATACCAATATTTAAGTATGTTTTTGAAATATTAATAAAAGATCATGCTAGATCAGGCTTTATCATGCTATGTATCAGAATATATATATATAACACAACTGCAAAAAGTGCGGTTCAGTTCAGAAATGAATGAGAGGTCAGTCTGCATGCAACCATTGTTCTTGCCTTATTATTGATGTGTTTGGTGAATAGGTCTATAATAACACATCATGTATGATATCATTTGTCTTTCCTCACGTAGGGTTTACATCTTCAGTTCCTCATCTTTACATCTTGGTCGAAGTGCAACAATCCTCTTATTTCCCATCATCCTTCTGCCTGCAAGACTGTCAGTCATGTTAAGTTTTCACACTCCTTAACACATGCACACACACACATATGTATATATATATACAGAGGTTATTACACATTTTTGTAATTATTTTAATTTTTTCCATGAATTTATTTATTGATTTTAAAATACAAACATTACTGGCATACTTATTGAACAACCTGGCATGTGTGTGTCTACTCAATTTGTGTTTTTTACTCTAAAACCATTTCTGTAAAATGTGGCCAAGCTTGCTGTGCATTTTTTTTTTTCTTAATCTCAATATTTTTTCAACTTTTATAGTGTATGTTTAACAATGATTAAATGTCCATTTCTTATTGTATTATTTTATTCAGATTTTATATTTGATGTGTTTATAATTCAATAAATTAACTAAATTATATGTATAGTTTTTAACTCTTATATACAAATAATAATTTTCATTTGAAGTTTTCTTTTTACTGTAGATAAAGAATGTAGAGATGAAAATCAACTTAATAATGGAGGAAATAGTCAGATTATGCATGGTAAGGGAATAATGCATTTTATATCTAGTGTAAATAGTTTATACAATTTTTATAGTGTTTCAAATATTCAATCAAACTTTGTATCTATTTAGCATATACAGTTGAAATTTATGTCAAAATTTTTTTCACTTTTATTAGGAGTTTTTCTGCACATACTGGCTGACACATTAGGAAGTGTTGGAGTTATTGTTTCTGCCATTTTAATGAACCAGTTTGGGTGGATGATAGCTGATCCTATTTGTTCAATGTTCATTGCTACTCTTATTGGCTTTAGGTATGTTTCTATAATATCACATGGATGTGCTTTTTCTTGTTACTTTCATTATAATAGTATAAAAACATATATATGTATATATAAGTGGGTAAATAAGTACTTTAAAAACACTATATTTATTTTTAATGTGTCTAATAAGCATGTAATTCAGCTCTTTCATGATGTAGGTCTGTTATAATTCAGACTAATGTTTTCCTTTAAATACTTTATAAAATGAGTGTAGTAATTTATCATGCAAGATGCTAAACAGGTACAGATAGAATCTAGGCTAGCACCATACATAATGAAAACTTAGCTAACTGTTAAGTTTCAGCCTTAGGTGAAATTCTAAGGACACGAAGAGGGGGTCCAAGGGTCTAACACCCCTTTTTCCCTACCGTCAGCCTCTCAAGAGCATTTCAGTTCACCATGTATTTTGAGTGCCCCATTGTCACACAGACATTATCCATTTACAAACATCCGTGCCTTTTCTGGGATTTGAACTTGGGTCCTTTGGTGTGACAGCAACACTAGCCGCCATCTCATCTAAGCAGCAAAATATTAAACATATTCTTTATTGATTAGTTAATGATGATAATTCTTAAATGATAATATTTCCATCAACATAGATCATAACCCTCTGAGCGTTATGACCCGCTTTATCAGGTCATCAGAAGTTTTGCTACTTGGCATATATTAGCTTACAATTAAAGGTATTTTGCTTTCTTACTTTCTTTAATAATGAACATATCATCTTAATGAATGTAAGTTTATGAAAATACAGACTAAAGTAAGTAATTATACAAACACAACTGATGAATGCTGTTTAAATATGGGTCTTCATGATGGATCTAAAATTTCAACATGTTTCCAATCATATGTTTTGAAATTTCAAATCATTATTAGAAATATTAAATATCTAAAATTTTTGTCTTTGAGATAAAAACATATTGTTCACAACATTATAAAATTACTGGCTCAGTAGGTTTGTTAATAAGCAGCTACATAATTAATTTGAAGGGGGCATTTGAGTAGAATTCCATGTCTCTGTTGATACTGATCATTGTCACACTTATGCTTTATTTTACTGTAGAATGTCAAATGAGATATGCTTTTAACTTATACTTTGTTACAATGTAGAATTGTCATTTTTCTGTTTTTGATGGGATGTTTAAATAAGATGCACATGTTAATTATTTCCACTGGGGAAAACTGGGAAGTATTTTCAGTAGTTCAAAAACAAGATGTGTTTAATCTGAAATGAATTTTTTTGGCATATTATGATGCTTAATGATATTTTGTTAAATGAACACTTTATAAGATGGACAGTTTTGCAGTGATGTTAAATAAAAGGGTTGTTGAAGATTTCTGTATAAAAATATTTTTTCAGTTTTATTTCCAAAAATCCTTTTATGCTTTTACGATGATTCGTTAGCTTCATAAAAAACAATATAATGGCTTCAAATATTACTACTAGTTTGTTTAAGTATGTTTTTAAATATTGTTTTAAAAAAATTACATTCCTTATTTTCTTACTGTTTGGCTTAACGCCATGCATACCTGTTCAATGTAATTTTTTTTTTTTTTTTTTTAGTTTAAGCATTTATTTCTTTTTATGCATAGGTAACATTTTTCTCTTTTTAAATACCACTGTAGTAATTTATGGTACTGAGGCTTAGTTTCGTTGGTTATAATCTGGTTCTCAAGCTAAACAAAATTCTGAAATTGTTCCAATGCACATATTCATATCTTAAAGATGAAACTGAATTTTCTCGTTTTTCTGAAGTTGAAATTATCTTCAGAATTGTGTTTTATAATATTCAGAAACTCATACATTCATTATATGACAAGGATGGTTAATTTTGCATTGTTACTGTATTGTGGCATGCCTCATTTTATTTTATTTTTTATATTATGTTAATCTGGCATTATTATAAAATTTTGACTAATTTATTTCAAATGAAACAGCTTGGTTTCTCATATCTGCTGAACATATTTATGTAATTTTAGTTAGAATTTTTGACATTTAGTAAAAACTGTAAATAATTTAAACTTTTTTTTTTTTTTTTAAATTTAATTTCTGCAATGGATTTTTCACTTATTTCAGTTTGGTAAATGTAAAGTGATTATTAGTTATTCGTATATACATGATATGCAACAATATATACCTGGGATCTATACTATTGTAAACATAACATTTAATATGTTGTATTAAAATAAGTTTGTTTTTTGTTTTTTGTTTTTAATGTCTTGTAAATCATGAACATCCATAAATATATTCAACTATTAAGTGAATGAATGCTGTTTTCAATAAAATGTTTTTAGAAACTGTTTTAATTATTGTAAAGTGTATATCTGTGGTCTTGCTGAACTCTCACAACAATGTTCCTGCTTAATTTTCAGCGTTCTTCCATTACTTAAAGATTCAACTAGTGTATTAATGCAGCGAACACCCAAAGCTCTTGATAGTGTTCTTCCTGGTTGCTATCAAAGAGTATGTATTTATTTTTTATTCCACAAAACTAAAATAAGTGTATTTCTGTGAGAGCTATCTGTTTTTTGATGATAACTATTTATTCTAGCTTCAGTTTTGGAAAATATTGACTTTAAATGTGCATTTGAAAACACATTTTACTTCTGAGGTTTAAAATATTTAGATCTGTTACCTCTCCTTTTCTATTGAAGGGTGTATAAGCCATTCATCAAGGAATAATTATTATGTAAACAGACAGAGCTTGGGATATAAACATTTGCCTTTTGGTTATCTGTTTGAATCCTTTTTTTATTCTTTTTTTGCTACTATGTAGGGTCTTTTAGGGTTACTATGGGAGGTTCTATAACACTTTGCATTGCTTTTATCGCCTATATTTGGTCTACTTCCCTTTCTATTTTGGAAAGCCTTAACTTCAGTTTATTATGACAAGCAAGCAAAGCATGGTTTATCAGATGAAGTCTACACTTCCATGGGAAATGACCCAATTACTATATTTATTTCTTGCTATCAACATTGGTCACAGTTACACAAATTTTAAATTGTTCACTCCTATTTATACTCTCACTGTTTTTTCCTGTCATGGCTATTTTGCATGCATTTCTGAAAGCTGTTTGATTATATTTTCAAGTCAGAAAGCACAAAACAAAACTAATTAAAGAAAAACTGGTTAGCAATTAGTGCCATACTTTTTAGCCATAGGATTATCAGATTTTTTTTCTTAGTGCAAATTTTTAACATTTTCATGTTTAGTTCCTTTAAATTTTCTTTTGTATTTGAGATTTTATGCATTTTATAGTTTTTGCCAGTTATTTAAAATTGCAAGCCAAATGTATGTAGTGTGTATAAACTTGTGTGTGTAATAATTTCTGTATCTTGATGACTGGAAGATAGCTATAATGAATTTAGGCAGTGGGTTTTACTATGTCATTAGGGTAATGGCTCGTTGTAATAACTTGGCAAGAGCTGGAGGCATCACTGGCCTGACTGATTTGCTTAAAGCAGCTATATTGAAACAAGTCTGCACAAACATCATGAAATCTGTTGATAAAATGTTTGAAAGTTCAAATAGGGCAATTAAAAAATTGTAATTTTTTAACATTTGTAATTTTTTCAAAAATTCACTAGCATTTTTAGGGGAATGTATGTACAGCCAATCAAAATTTTGAAAATCCTAATTAATGTGATTCTTGGTAAAATGTACCTAAAAAAAAGACAGGATTCTTTGTAACTTTGCATGTAATTATTTTTTTTAAATCAAGACAAAAATTGTTCATACTTTAATGAAGAAAATTTTGCATATATATATGGCATAATATTGAAGCATAATCAAGAAATTAAATTTTTAACTGTATGTTTACTTTTAAAAATTCGACATAAAAGTGGCTTTAGCATGAAATCACTTGGCTCTAATTAAAGGGCATTTCCTGTAAAATGATAATGAAAATTAATAAAATGATTTTCATTGTTAAAAATGTTTTCATTATGTGTAGTAATATTTTATTTATTTTCAATATCAAGTATTTAATGAAATATAAGAAAGCCAGTATTTTCAATGATGTTATCCTTTCATTTTTTAAGTACGAGGTGTATTCGGAAACTAAGTACCGTTTCGAAAAAAAAAAATAGTAAAACAATTTTTTCGAATCCAATTTTATTTTTACATGAAAATACATGTCTTAAACTATTTTCCAACATAGTTTCCGCCAATGATCAAACACTTGTCATAGCGGGTGAGCAGTTTTTGTATACCATCGTCAAAGAAACTTCCTGCCAGTTTCGATAACCACGACTCCATAGCATTTTTCGTGTCATCGTCATATCCAAAGCGCTTGCCACCAAGCTCGTGCTTCATGTGCAGGAACAAGTGATAGTCGCATGGTGCGAAGTCCGGGCTGTACGGCGGGTGATCGAACTGCTCCCAATGAAACTGTCGAATTAACGATTGTGGAGCAACACAATTCCTTTACTGAGCATTCCTCTTCGTTTGTTTTGAATGGCACGCCTTAGTTTTGTTAAAGTCTCACAATATCGTGCCGCATTAATGGTTTCAACCTCGGGAAGAAATTCAGTAAGCAAAACGCCTTTCCTATCCCAGAAGACAATGCAATGATTTTTTGTGATGACATTGTCACTTTGAACTTTTGTTTTTTCGGAGATGAGTGTGTCCCACTCCATCAATTGTTGTTTCGATTCTGTTGTGAAATGACACACCCAAGTTTCATCACATGTCACAATTTGGTTTAAAAAGTTTTCTCCCCCGTCACTGTACCGCGTGAGAAATGTCAGGGCACTACCAAGTCGCTTTGTTTTGTGAACATCAGTGAGCATTTTTGGAACCCATCAGGAACACAGTTTGCGATAATTCAAGCGGTCAGACACAATTTCGAACAAAACAGTATGTGAAATTTGTGGAAATGCCTCTGAAAGAGTTGTCATTGTGAAGCGTCTGTTCTCATGAATTGCTTCATCAACTTTCCTTACCAAATCATCGGTGACAAGAAAAGGCCGACCACTCCGAGCCTCGGCGTGGACATTTGTTCGACCTGCATTAAATATTCTTAATCACTTTCTCACCATTCCATCACTTATCGCGTATTCACCGTAAACTTCTCTCACTTGACGATAAATTTCGGCCGGTTTTAACATTCTCGCGTTCAAAAATTTAATCACGGCACGAATCTCACAGTCAGCGGGAGAACTAATTGTCTTAAACATTTTGAATGTGCAGAGAAACTGAAAACACAACATAGAGCAACCAAAATGGCGACAATTGAAAGTCAGTGAACAAGAAAGACTAATATGCGCATCCGCGGGACGCCTACCACAGCACTGCGACGACGCTAGAATGAAACGGTACTTAGTTTCCGAATACGCTACGTATATTAAGTGTTTTGAAGCATATTCAAAAAGCAGAATAAAAAAGTAAGTGTATTTTTAAACACTCAAAGGAGCAAGAATGCAGTTGCTATCTTGGTAAATGGCCTAAAAATCATGGGAATGCAAATTGTCACTTTTCAGGGATTCTGCAAAGGATGTTTGGTGTTGACCATTATAATATTGGAATAAAATTTGACTGTCGCTTATTGAAAAAATATAAAGAAAATAACTTGTGTTGTTTGAAAAGGAGTTCTGTTGAAGAAATTAACTTGAGAAAAATAGACATTAATTTTTAATAAATTTTATCTACAGATAATAAACAGTCAGTTTGTCCCAAATTTTAAATTATCAGAGTTTTGAGATTTAAGCTGTTTGTATAAGTTTATCATGAATTAAAACTGAGCTGTTAAGTTGACTGCCTTAATTTTTAGTTATTTATATTTAGCTTGTAAATATTTCTTAATATGTAGCAAATTTGGAAAACATATTATTTTAGTTCTTTTGTGCATGTAAAAAATCAAAAATTGTGACGCACGTATTCTGAAAAGAATATCTGGAAATATACATCTTCCTCCTCAGGTAATGCAGTTAGAAGGTGTGTATAGTGTTCAAGAGCCAAGATTTTGGACATTATGCAGTAATGTTTACATTGGAACAATAAAATTAGAAGTTGCACCCACAGCAGATGCGAGGTACCTCCTCAGCCACACTCACAACATTTTTACACAGGTAAATAACTTTAGTATTATTATATAATCTGGAGCATTGTTTTCATTTTTTAAATAAATAAAAATCTTGACTAGTTTCAATTGTTACAGTTTGTTATCCCCCTCCAACAGTCTAATTGTAAATTATTAGAATTCATACAAATAGCGTTGTTACAAATTCATTCTACAAAGAAAAATAGCATACTGTTAAAAATTTGCATGGATATCATCATATCTTCATTCAAATTTTTGAATTATCTAAATTATTTGAACATCTTATTTTTCATTGGAAAAAGGCAAAATGTTATTTTACATTAATTTCTTTGTACTAATCCAGAGTCTTTGGCTTGTTAGTTTAATGAGTCTGATTTTCAGTGCCATAATTATTTTTATTTTCCTTGTATTTTGTTGCATGCGGGAAGGTTCATAATAGATTGAATGCACACAGATCAGATGGTAGGTTAAGAATATTTATTTTTATCAAAGAAACACTACAAACTTCTGAAATTTTCCACACAAATAGTCGTACAGGTGTTTACAGTATCACTGAGTACAATCAGTAGTTACGCTTCTAACTACTAAGAACATTAAACACAATGCAATGCAAAGCGCATTTAAAGAGAAAGGTCTCAGTTCACACTAAACTAAAAACTCACAACAATAACTGAGAGCAGATGCTCTCTCCGGCACTATGTAGTTTTCAACAGACTGCCAAGATAATTCTAGTACTTTCTGCTTCTCGAAATTACTGGAAAGCAATATGATGGTCGAATTATAATTGCAGCTAATATAATGATCAATTACAATTCAATTACAATACCTATTGTGGTGATACAGGGGTTAGACCAAAGTGTCGCGAAATGGTCTCCAAGTATGGTGACTTTTGGCGATTTCTG